CCCCAAAACCCCAAAACCCCGAATGTGAGAGTTGATATTAAGTTGCAATAAAAATAATTAAAATTCGTTTTAAATCTACTGTAAATTACATTTATAAGAAATGACAGAAGAATCAATTAATTCGACCAGGTCGCCTGTTTCCCACTACACTCGCACATCCAACTCTAAATCCTTGAACCCTACTAACATTTCAAACTTTAACCTGGACAATATAATAAAGAGTCAGACTTCGATGTCCAGGAGTCCTGGCGTGTCCAACAAGAGAAATTTAAAGTTAAGTGCTACTAAGAGTTGATCTTTTGGAAAAGGACGGGAAATTCTCTAGAAAAACGCCCCTCCAAGACGTCCTATCAAAAGGCTTTAATATATAAACTCTTATGGAATGAGAGATTACTTTGATATTGATCAAGAGGAATACGACAGACTGAAGCTAAATATTGGAGTAGACTTTGACAACGACTTCAACTAAGAATTGATCAGCATCTTTGTAAAGACTCTGCTTTAGGGACTTCCGTACTAATGGCAGCGAGAGTAGGATGCTTATGATAACATAGTCTACTATAATAAGTAAACCAAAGAAACAACCTACTAGCATCCACTGAGTAAATTCTTAAGAAAAACTTTCAAACAACTTCACGATCACAGATAGACAATTGTAGAGCGGATTAACGAGGAAGTGAAAAATAACATATTGATCCCAGATTCAACTTTGAAACAACTAGATTTTTAAAGGAGAGTAGAGGAGATGCAAAAACAGTAAGAGTAATAGGAGAGGAAGCAACTAAGCAAGCAGAGTTCGGGTCTTAAGTTAGTCATGGGCTCGTCTACCTCTCTTAAACTGCTCAAGCAAAGTAAGTATCCAAGTTAGGTTATTCTAATTACATCTAACTAATGAGGATAATTCATAATAATTCATTTAGAGATTGAGAATTAATATAAAGCCTCAAATGTCATTGAAAGCTTGACATTCAAAGACACAAAAAGTGAAGTCAGATTGAAAAGACTATATGAGACCACTAAATAATTTAAGAAGAAAGTGTATGACGACATGTATACCCAGAACTAGAAATTCAACGAGTCAATGATTGAGGCATTTTACCACTACCAGAAGAAGTTCACTAAAATCCTTACAAAGAAACAGAAAGTTAAGTTATTCGATCCGTTTGACTCAAACAACAGCGACGAGTCTAAGTCAGAGCACCCTGAAGAGGAACTAGTTCCAGAACTGCCAGAATATGTAAGAATCCAATATCATCATTATGAAGGTACTGTGAAATGACTATTTCAAGTCCATATCTATGGAGGAGTAGATTGAACTCGCAAGATACTATGGAATCAACCCATCAACTGAATATTATCTTTTATGGATACCAAAGGTTGCGTTATCACTCAAGCTACCTATCAACTGGATAAAAGGCTATGTCAATGAAGAAGATAACGAGCACGGAATTATCAAGAAATCTAATAAGGCTGTCTACAAGAACATTAACACTGAAGTTATCATAGAATTCCATCCCTCGGATCCATATATAAGATATATGGTCTAAGTCTAACAGAGATCAAAGAAAATCACTTCATAGACTCATTTCAGTAAGAATAGCCTTTTCCCATTCCAACTAAATATAGAGAACTTTCAGCTGACAGGAGAGGATTTCATGAACAGATTTTACGATTAGAAACAGATCTTCTGTGAGATACTTGGTATTGAAAACATCATCAAGCACTCTATATATGTCAAACTTTAACAAGGACTCTAAAAGCCACAGGTTGAGCAGAAGAACATAGCCATTTAATGGTTATAAGACTAAGAAGAGTTGAGAGATAAAGCCTCTGAGTTGAGTAAATTCTAGGCAGTTTAAGAAGAATATGATAACTTTACTGATGCAGAGATATTTGCTATTGCTACTTAATGTGAGATTGACTTTGAGACTCAGATTCACTTACTCAACTATTTGGTAATGATTGTAGCCCAGGTCAAAACTAATAATAGTATGTAACTTGAGTTCAGATATATTAGAGAGACCCTAGACAACAAAACTAATAAGAAGATCATTGCGGCTGACCCTTAATTCTATTGGAGAGATCCCATTACTAATAAAAATCATAAGATATTCCCACTTCTTAATGAAGTCAAGCAAAGACTCGAAGTACTAAAAGGCAATCTCTAGGTATTTCAAGACTCTGCACACTTTAAGCGCTATCTTAAGGACTTAGATAGGTACAAGGAGAAGTTTAAAGCCAATCCACACATATATCGGAATCAGGTAGCCAAGCAAAAGCATCTATTAGTTGAATAGTATCTTACAATGCTATTAGACAAGGGCAAAATAGATCCCTTGAAGTTTTAATTGGATAAGCACACTAAGAGCGGAAGAGGTTATTTCCGTATTAGCATGGAAGATATCAATCGCATCTTTCACTTGCTAGGTAACAAAGTCAAGCATCAAGAAATCATAGACTTCTGTTTCTAATCTCCTTTCAGGTTTGAATTCTCTGATCAGGAGATAGAATAGCACAAGAAACTGTTAAAAGAACTAGACTCAGAAGACTATCAAATCAATTTCAGAAGAAATAGACTAAAAATTGAAGAGAATTCAGACGCTGACTTTGATGATATGATGTTGAAGCCTCATCCTAGAGGTTCAGTGAGGAAAAATAGTAGCTTTAACAAGAACGGAGAATTCAGCACTATAGAAGTGGCTAAGAAATACAGCAGTAATTAAATGAGGATGCAATCTTAAGAGACACTCGAGGATTCTGAGGACTCAGACAGTGATGAAATGATTAAAAAAATTATCAAGCGAAAGATGGAGGGAGTCACCAACCTAGATGAGCTAGCTGTCAAGCATGGCAGGAAGAGCTTCAGGGGCAATAATAGCTTTATGGATAAAGCAGATTCCTAGGAAGGTAAAAAAGACTCCAAGAGTCTAAATAAATCAAAGCTTAACAAAAGTAAAGAGAGTAAACTACAGTCCAAGCAATCTACACCTTCTTTTAGAGTTGATAAAGGGCTACTCTCCAAATAAAAACTATCTAAAGAATAGTCACCTTTAAAAATTAAACCTGGCTTGAGAGGAGCATTCCTAAAGTAAAAGGGTCCTTAGAAAGGACTTTATAAAGTAAAGAAAACTAGATTTGATACTAATAACAATGATGAAAATAGTGATAATGAGTAAGTTTCAAGGAAGAAGAGGGTAAAAAAGATACTGAGTCCTGGTGAGGAAAACGATGAGTTATAAGATCCAGAGTATATCTAGCAAAGAAATGATCTTTTGAGAATAGCCCAAAAAATATCAAATAACGATGCAGAGTTCGAGAATCTATCTCCTTAGCAAAAGCAAAATCGAATCCTAAAGGTAAAACTGGAAGAGGTACTAAAGGAGATCAGCTCACTTACTAAGGGCATAACTAATCTCATTAAGGAACCAATAGGCAGTAACCCTCTTGTTAATAAGCTAGCTGACATCATTTACACTGCAAATATTGACCTCGATGTGTTCATTCAGAGTCTGGAGTACTTTGAAGATGAAACTGAAGAGGAGCTATTGAAAAGACTGATTTATTAGATACAGATTATTCATGAAAAACAAATCAGCCAACCAAAGGAGAGTATCGAGGAAGCGAAGGGACTTGCAGAGGACTACTTTAACATGCTGGTAGATAAGAAGAAGCAGAATGCATTGAAGTTAGCTTAACAGCTGGCTTAGTCCCAAAATCCTACAGAAGAGGATTTGGAGCGCAATAGCTTTATAGAGACTCAGAAGAAGATGGGTATATATGACAGATTGGTGAAGGCGCTGTTCAAGATGACTAAGAAGAAGGTGTCGTCGTATGACACAGGCAAGATCCAGAGGATAGCAACCGATATGCAAAAAGATGCAATGAGGCAACCTCCAGTGTTCTCCAACTTTGTGTATATCAAGAACAGGAACAATCTCGAGATCATTGAGGACAATGTGGCTCATGAAAAGATTAAGATGATTCATGAGTTCTAGGGGTAAATTGAGTAACTTCAGCATGAGTTGTAGATTGAAGACATGAAATTGACATAGAATATGCATCAACTCAAGCGTTAGAATGATCTCTTAAACAGTTCCTAGCGAATCAGAAGAGACGAAAAGTCAGAATAAGTATCGCCCAGTAAGTATCATAATTCATTGCACAAAAAGGAATCAATGGACGATTTAAAGTAATACCAAGTTAATCAGAAAGACTCGGAGTCTTTCTAGGAGGACTTTATCAGTGATTCTGTATCAGATGGGGATGATGACGAGTTCACTCCAAGAAGAACAACCCAGAGGAATGTTACTAGGAGAACCAGCTTAGCGCAAGAAGAGATTTAAAGACACGAAGTTGAAGAAAGCAAAAAGATTATTGAAGAT